TTATAACTTTCATGAGATACACTAAATTAATTGTTATGTTTTTCGGCTTACATACGTAATTATTTGATGAGGAACTCGACTAGTTTCAAGCCATACAAGAGGCTCATATTCATAAGCAACATTCCGCTTACATTCCCATTTACAGCTGGCCACCTAGTAATATCCCATCATTATCATCTTCAACAGCATGTGGACTTAGGCATCCCTACAAAGATAGCTTTTCCATAATGTCTTGGCTGGTGGATTGGAGACCACAGTTGAAAACTTTCAGGTTTATCAGAAAGCGCTGTCAAATATGTAGTTCCTAGTATGTGTCAACCAAGCTTGGTGATTATTGCTCAAACCTTATCCGTGTGAGAAGAGGCCTTTGGTCAACGATGGCCACTTATAGGCTTTTGATATATTAATTTTTTATTGTGACAAATAAGCCACAACTATTCAAAACCACTGCAACTCCTGTAAGGCAGGCTGTTGATGTTGATGTAGTTCCTTAGTGAACTCTTGCGAGGTCCGTGGGAAGAACACAGGTAGTCACAATTGTAGTTACGTACGTACTTCACTCTACTGTTACCGTCCTATAACATCATCTCATCATCATCAACATATCACCCACAGGACGTCCACTGCTGAACATAGGTCTACCGCAATGACTTCCAGATAGGGCAGTTGGAAGCGATGTGCATCCAGCGGTTCCCTGCGACCTTAATCAGGTCGTCTGTCCACCTTGCGGATGGACGTGCTACGATGCGCTTGCCGGTACATGGCCTCCACTCAAGAACATAATATTATCTACTTACTTAACTCGTCGAGTACCGTCTTTGTAGACACAATTATAGAACAATAGGTTGCGGTCACCGGTGACCGCTTGGTGTTTGACAGTTTTATATGATTATAATGCTTATAGACGTATGACGATTGACGTCCAAGTTTAAATTAAAATGCAAGTATTTAAAACAATCCAGTACTTAGTTATTTTAATTTGTTTCATTATCAATATCATGTGCGCAAGCGCATAATCAATCAATTTATTTATATTATGTACCTTTTATTCAAATTTAGTGTGCTTAGGTTTAAGGTAGGGGTTCGTATCACCTACGTAGGTACTGGCAGTATGTGTGTATACGTAATATGTAGGTATAAGTTGGTTACTTGGGTAAGAACAAAACATAACACCAAAGAAGGTAGGTATACCAAGTTCAAGCCGTGTCTCCAACTTGTTTGCCAGGTGCAAAGATTAACAAAACCGTCTTTTGAAGAGGAGGCCCATAGTCCAACAGTGGACTCTTACGAAGTGTAGATGATGACGTTGATGATATTTTACCAAACCATAAAATAACGCATGCGTATATTATTCTTTCATAGGGTATATTACTTTACCTATATTCCACCCTAGTACGGGCACACACTTTTTATGACCTCATGGCCCTCATTCAAACAAGTCCATGCACTTGTATGAGGCGTGGTGACGAGAAAAAATCTTTTTTAATTGCTACCTTAAAATATCTACCTTAATATGTCTTTAAATTTCTACCTTCAGTCAATAACACTCTTTACTTGTAGGAAATAGAGTTTGTGCTCTATTAACGGTGCATTGCACTAACAATAGTGAGGCCTGTAATCCACCTTTCCTCAGCACTACTTTGTGATTGGCCGTTACGAAGCTAATAATATAAAAATGACGCAAGTTGCACCAATCAGAGCATGAACTTTAAGTAGAAAACATTATGGTAATAAAATATGACAATCCTACATTACTGTACACATAATCTAACAAAGTGAAAAATAACTCGTGCATTATGCATATTTATTTATGTAATCAAGTACATACGTAACTATTATTACCTATATTAAGTAGGTAACGTCTTTTGTTTTTCATATTTTAGAAAATTCTACGTTCAATTTGTTCATACACAAATACTGTGATAACCTTGGCAGGACAAAGAACAAAGCAGATGTGGCGCCCAAGTGCGTGCTCCAACACGACGCGAGCGGCCGCGACGTTGGGAATGTTAGGATTAAACATTCGTTTTATTGCGCTGATTATAAACCCAGTACGTACATAATGTCTGCATAAACAATACGAGAATATGCATTGTTGACCATACAGTTAGGTGTAGCATGATATTCAAAAACATTGATGAACCCATGTTTGTTGACCTCATGATGCAGACAGTGGGTAGGTTAATGAATTCAATAAATTAAACGCTTAACAACATTCATTTCACTTTAAATTCTACTTTCTGAGGCATTTGAAACTAAAGCCAGGTTATTGAACGTCGATTAAAATAATAGTCCTACTGTTATGAAGTCTATAAAGTTCAAACGGATGTAGTTAATACCCTCATAAACCATATCACAATGCAAATATAACCGTTTCTTTAATGATCATACGTATTAGAAATAGCTGCAAGACGCTGGCTATTAGCTGGCTAGCCCTGAGAGTTCCCGCGCAGTGCAATGCAGCGGTACTAGAAATATGGATAGTGTTTCGCAAAACGAGTTGAATGCACCAGTGTGCGCTGTGCGGCCTTGTGTGTGCACACGCACGGCGCGACGTCGCACCGTGATAACGACGTCTCTCGCCAGTGCCACTCACCGGTACTCACATTCGCATTAGTTGTTCCATCAACAGTGTAGACTGCCGAGTAGCTCTCCGGCGGAAAGTTGAACTGAACCGATGACATCTCCTTGCGTTGCCACTGCACTAACACTGGGTGGGAGCACACAAACACTATGAACTATAACACGATATGTCCGGCGCCGGGGGTCCCGTTGACTCATTATTCCTTATTGATCAGCGCGTGGCGGATGTGACTGACATGAGCGCAGACACGGAGGGAGGCCGCGCGAACGTATCGGCACGAAACCGGCGCCTTACAAACGCGGATTATCGCTCCTTGCGCCGATAATAAGTAACGTAAACTTCCCGTAAAATAATGTTGGTCACCGTGTGCGCCGATTGTGCGCTATCGACAGCGAACCTTATCGCGGAACCGGCCGCGTTGCGACTGGTTATACGAGACGTGTATTTGTTGTCAGTTTTAACACTGGAGACTGCGGGTACGCGTTCCTCATTCCATTATTTATACTATAAGTACCTACACAATGTTCAATAAATAAACAATTGAAGTTGCTGCAGATGGAGTTAGTACTGCGAACACACAATGGACATGGTTACTCGTTATCTTCTGGCTCGATTTAATATATTAGGATCAAGTATCAAAAAGTTGGCTACTGCTCTTGAACACCTTCCTATGGACCGGTCACAGTAAAGGTCAAGTAAGTCTGACAGTTGGAGCACATCAGGTTAATGTTGAAACTATTTTATTATGACACCAAGTCGCTTCGTGTTAGGCACTCGATAAGAAACGTAGGTACGTATTTGTTGATAGATACTGACACACTATAAAAACAAATGTAATTTATAACTGTGTGTCGAATAAAAAGACACGCGAGCGTCTTACACATTCGTATGAAGCACTAAAACTATGTTCAATTATCACTATCCAACGTTCGTGAGCAGGTTACCAAAGTATGTGTAGGTACAATGTACATGCTGACATAATAAACAGGAAAAAATGTGTTTATTTAATTGTATATTTATTGTTGGAATACAAACGATTTGTAACGGTCTATTAAATATGATGCTAGACTAGATTATTAACTCATTATGATTCAAGATCCGCAACCATCGAGCGGTACATAGGTGATCTTAAGAAATATCGACCCATTGACAGAAGACATGCGACACACTTTTGTTTACTTAAATTTTTTACTGGCTTTTGTTTACAAGTAAGTGTATGCACCTTATAATAGACTTTTTATTAATAAGACTAAATTATTAATCAAAATAAATTAGTATATATTTTACTTACCTACTAACTACCATCCCAGTGGTTCTGTATTAAATATTAACTCGTCCGTCCGTCTGATGGTAACAAGCAAGAATAATTATTTTGCAATAACATTATTATAATATTGGACATTTTAATTTGCTGGGGACAGAGGGTAACATTCCCTTTTCAACAGTAGTGTATGAGCAAAAAAGCTCAAACAATAACCTTATCGCACATGGGGTATAATATTGTGCTCCATGGTGAGGACTTCTAAAATCGAACCTAAAACTACACTCACTCACGCAACGGCAATCACTTTTCCAACAACTCGACTAATGAGGCTGTCATAATGACATGTCATAGTATTAACTGTAGTTAAACAAAATTAAATCATCTCATTTGGCGACCCTGTTTCCATTTCCGATTTCTTTGAAATAGACTTCAGTATTAGGAATAAGTATGCTTTTTAAGAGGAAAAATCATTCAGTGTCAGTCTTACTGACTAAAAACCACCTTGTTCCAACTCTAACTTCGAGTCGGACCCCCGACAACCAGTTGTCCGCAGCCTGGATCGGGCATCAGCCTTACTGGGCCGATCTGTAGTTGTCTGATGGCTCTTCGAGGCGCGAAACACGTTGGGTGGTATAAGTATACTAGACCTAAACTTATTTAAACTTTATAAAGAAAATACACTGTATATTATAAAAAAAATGCTTTTATTACAAATTACAACATACAAACTTACCATTTAATTACGTTCAGTCCAAAGTCGAGTCGCACTCACACAATAATTAATATTGTCATTAATCAGATCTACTCTTTAAGAGAAACAATTTACCATTGAAACAAAAATCATGTGATTTAACTACGAAATTCTTGAATACAAATATGAGATTAGGTCAGAATAAATACCTATGCATACATAGTAAAATTCACATTATCAGGATCATATGACTTGGATTACACAACATATTTTGTAACTACATTAATGTACTTTTACATAGCTAATTATAACCTGTTTACACTGTTAAGCCATCTTGAAAGATTTGCTTCAGACTTAGGGCTGATTTATATATATATTTTTTATTTAAGACACGTTGCCCCACATTAGGATTTTCTCCTGTATCGTTGGTGCGTTTACAAACATACAAGTTCACATACACATGATACCCAGACCCGGAAGAACTAACTGTGGATCACACAACGAGTTGTTCCGCGCGGGAATCGAACCCGCGATACGTAGCGCGGCAGTAAATTGCTATGGATTAGGCCGTTTACAACAAGCAACGTATGATACGTAATGATTAGTTACTCTATGTCATGGAACTAAGGACGGGATTTCCTTGTAGAAAAATTTTTGACAATGTCTGTTTTGAACAATTTTTTGAAAACTGTAATTTGAAGTTCATGCAGTAAAATACATTATAGGACACGACTTTGAATTAACAACCAATTTTATACAAAATATGTAATTTTGAGTCAAAATTTCATTGATCAACAATTTATGTAGCAAAAATATACAATTATAATTTAATATTTCATATCATTGAAAAATACATTTCTTATTATCACCAAACTAGAGTCTGCATTACCTTTGTTAATGTTAACATGAAAAAAATGGGTATTATCACGTGGTCTGTAGTACAGTGTTGGTGTATGTGAGTAGTTGCAGAGCGCGTTGTGCGTCAGGTTCTCGTGCCGAGCGCTGCAGTCGCTGCAACGCTGTCTGCACCGCTGAAGCCACGCCTGCACTCCGAAGTACCAGCTTTGCCTAAACAACAAAAGTACTTGTACACTATTTGGTAGCGAAAGAGATAATGGGGCTGCCGTTTTTTATTTGCCCACTAGATGGCGCCAATCTTAGAATCTGTTTTTTGGCAATCACAGCAGCTGTCAAATATTAAACGTCCAATGGTATTTATTTAAGGGGGAAAATCGTCGAATGGCTGCTCCCGCCTGGAGCAGCCGCCAGAATAAATAAATGTATTCTACATCAAACATATGTTCGTTTGACATTTAAACGCCAAAAGTTAATAATATTTTTTATTATTATAATAATAACAGCAATAGTTGAACAGCAAAAACTAAATTAAATTGGACAAGTTCACGAGTTTGAATAATATTACATTAGGTATTGTTAATTCTATTTTATCATCTTATAAATTAACATTAAAGAATCAACGTGACGTCAATATCCCATTTAAAAACCAAGTGTCTAATCAAGCGCTCAGCGCATTGCCTCAAAAATAATAGTAGCGTGCAAAATTAATTAAAATCTGTGTTATTTTTATTATTCCCCGCTGTTTTAACAGTTATTCCACTATTCAGTCTTCAACTCAAACGATTCATTGAATATGATAATCGGTACAGCAATTAAATAAAGAGTAATTAAAAAAATAAGAGTACTTTAAAAAAGTACCTGGATGACCGAGCTTTGTTCGGTGCTTTTATTACTACATATATTTGTAGAAAAAAAAATATAAATAGAACAAAATATTACTAATAATAATAATAATAATATTATTCTGGCAACACCACGACATGTCAACGTACAAAATTTTACTCTATTTTTTTTTGGTTTATTTTTATAAATAATTCACACGTTTCCTTATAGTCACGATAACAATAACAAAACCTTTTTATAATAATATATACTTACCACAAAATCAACATCTAATAGCATTATACAAACAATAAATGAAGAAAAATGGAATTTGACAGTGACAAATTGACAACATGCAAAACGAAGATTATGAAACAGAAAAATAAAATGTTACGTTGATGTTGACGAGAGCCAGAAGACGACAAGGCGCACCCCCACCACCTCCGGACTCGTCGCTCAGCTCCGCCTCGCCGTCACCGGACCCCAGCTCCGCAGGATCACCGGTGACAGCAGTTGCGTCGAGCTCGAGCGACGACTATTTCTCCCCGCCGACGTCGCCGACACCTGTACGTCGGCCGGGGAGAGGCCGGCCACCGACGGGCTTGGGAGCCAGGGGCCAACAGGCCCCGGGACGGGTCCCCGCTACCGGTGGTTGTGTGCGGCGCATGAAATGGTCTCAAACCATAAATGAGAACGTCATGCGCTCGTACTACGGTGCTACAGAGGGAGGGACTAACCTCACTGCGTACCGTGAAAGGATGCTGTCTATGTTTCAGGTTCTTGAGCCATCTATCAGCGTCTCGGCCCAACGACTGTCGGATCAGGTGCGGGTCATCCAACGCAATCGCAGATTGGATGAGGCTGCGCTTGATCGGCTACGTCTAGAAGCACTGCGCAATCGTGTCGTCCCCGCACCACCACAATCGGTGGCACAAACATTTGTAGTGTCACAATGTGTGACGGCAACCACCCCTATCGTTGGAGTGGAGGATGACAGGGTTGAACAAGTGAGTACTCAGTGCAATGAACGACTGAGGAGTGCTTTGGAGGATGCGGTTCGTGAGTACAGACTTGCTCCTAGTAATTTAAGACCGAAATTACCACGTTTGCCCATGTGTAGAAAAAATAGGGCGCTGGTGAGTGCCTTGGATTCGCTACTTAAAAAATATTTTGAGAGTAGCGAAAACCTCTATGATACACACTCAATCTTGTACTGTGGGGCGGTAGCTGCTTGTCGAGTGGCTAACGTCAGATTCCCAAATCTTGACGCAGCAGTCCGACCAAAACCAGCAGTACCTGCCTGGCAGTATAGGATAGAGCGTCGTATCAGTGAGGCCAGGGTACTCATTGGCAAACTATCCTGCTTCAGGGAGGGCAATACTCGCCCTAGAGTGATGCGCTTTGTAAGACGTGCATTTGTGGGGACTGAAACCAGTCCTCATGAATACCTGTCACGTGTTACAGAGCGCATCGACTTCCTGAAGCAGAAAGTTTATGCATGGGCAAACCGTATTAGACGTTACAAAAAGAGAGTGGAGCGCTATACTCAGAATCGCATGTTCCAAAGAGATCAGAGGTGGGTATACAGAGATTGGGAACGATCCAACCAAGATGTGGTTGACGGGCGGCGACCGGATGATGATGCCACTA